GCTCAGCCGGTAGGGATCGCTGAGTCCTAGGTGAGCTGTGAACGCGATGGCCGCGTGGGCCGAGCGGCTGGCCGGCGTGCGCGGGGTGCTGCTCGACATCTCGGGCGTGCTGTACGACAGCGGCGCGGATGGCGGCACGCCGATCGCTGGCTCGGTGGAGGCGGTGGCGAGGTGAGTAGGCCGCCGGCGGGACGGAGGCGAGCTCTCGGTTTAGCTAGCACAGCCGACGTGCCGAGGGGGGCGGGACCGAGGGCCCGGTGGCCCCGCCCCTCCCGTCTTCCCGACTCGACCACGCCCGCCCCGAGCGGGTCCCTCCCACCCGAGCTGGCCCCGCCCTCCCTGGCTGGCCCCGCCCCATCCGGTGTGCTAGCTGCCCCGAGGCCGGGGATGCTGGAGAACCAATCGGGTACCTGCGCTGCTGAGCGGTCGAGCTGTTTCTAGTCGGCGTTGAGGTGGACTGTAAGAGCGAAATACAGTCCCCAAGCCTAGTGAGGAAAACATAAATAGCTCCTTAATGCTTATGTGGCCACATGTTGCAGTAATCCTTAATTGCTAGGTGGCGTGCAGTCTAATTCTGGTGGTCTTCGTTGGTTTAGATGCAGGGGAGGGCACCTGGCTCGCCCAGCCTTGCCAGCGCAGGACACTCCCACGGTGGGCCCCTCTGGGCCCGGGCTTTGTCATTGCCCTTGGCTTTCCCAGCGAGTCCTGCAGAATGGTGTGTGTGGGCAGTCGGGAAGGGCTCATTGCCCTGCACGTGGCCTGACTGGGCATCCTGCTTTTGTGGCCTGGCCTCATTGGAGTTCAGTTTCCTGACTTACAGGTGGCAGGTAAGGGAGCTCCTTGGTCTTTCTCAGAGCTCCCCGCCCTCCTGTGTGTGTGATGGTAAGGACCCAGACTGCTCTATAGTGCAGAGAGGGATGGCAGAGAGGCTGAGAACTCAGAAAAGGGAGTCCTGGCCTTTGGAAGCACCTATAAAAGGTAGCCAGGTTCTAGAAGATGCCCTGGTCTTGGAGTGGGCGGTCATTGTTGGCAGAAGTCCATGTCTAATTGCCTTCCTGGCCTCTAAATTCATTTCCACTAACCCCAAAGCTTTAGACTGGCTCTGTCACCTAGAGGGCACAGTGTGAGGCCCTGTGGGACTGGAGAAGAGGACACTGGGCTGTGTGTTTTCAGTGAAGTATTCTTGTGTGAGGGAGCAGGAAGCCAGGGCTGTGACCTAGGCAGTTAGGGCTTGGTGGGGGGGTGTGTGTGTCCATGTCTGGAACTGAGGTGGGCAGTATTCTGCACACAAGTAACCTGACATATTGGTATAAGGCAAGTAAAGATAGGGCACTGAGTAATCTGATGGGGTGAGTGGCCTGGGCTAGAGGAAGAGTTCCAAGGAGAAGGCATTGCCCTGGGCCACCAGGAAGAAGAAACTGTTAGTGAGAAGAGGATAGAAGTGTTTTCTGGGTAGAAGAGGCAGAAGAGCCTTCTGCAGGGGAGGACAGGGGAGGAGAGAGAAATAACACAGAGAAACATACACAGAGAGAAATATAAACACATGCAGATAAAAGAGACACTCACACGTGCTTACAGAGACATATGGGGGGGGGAGGAACAAATGGATTATATTGAACCAGTAGCATGAGACATGGTGCCTGTCATTCTGGGAATGTAATTTCCTATTTGGGAAATGTTCTTGAGCTGTTAGACGTTAGAGAAATGATGTGCTGGTTTCTGTGAGAGACCCTGGTGTCCCTGTCTCAGTACCAGGTGATAACCTGGTGATTTCCCACTGATACCTTGTCCACAGGGGCCTCTCAAGTGACCTCTGGGGTCACTCCCATTGGCTCCCAGCCACACAGGCGGAGTTGTCACTGAATGGCCTCAGAGTAGCTAGCACCCATAGAGCCCAGCACCCACACTGCTGACCATGGTCAGCATCTACTTTCTCTCTTCAGCTCCATGCAGGCTTGGCTTCCATAGGGTTGAGCCTTCCTGCTCAGGCTCAGAGCAGCCTGTCCATTACAGCTGTCTAAAGCGAGGTGTCAGAGGCCTAGGCCAGCAGACCTTCCCCTCTGGCATAATACACCTGCCTCTGGAACTTACTGTGGGGACTTGCCCTTTATGGTGGTAGAACCAGTCCTGGGTTCTCACAGAATCCTTTGTGGTGGCCGTGCCAAGGCACACGGCGCTGGGCATCCAGGTGGCTGGGTGGCATTGGCAGCTCCAGCAGTTCAGCTTCCCACAGTTCCCTCCAGCCTCCTCTGAAGCCCTTCAGGGCTCACTGCAAGTCCCCAGGGTGAGACCATCTGCTACAGGTTCTGCGGAGAAAATGAGACTTCATGGCAGCTTCTCAGCTCTGCCTCCCCGGCAGCATCTTTATCCTGCAGACCTAGGAGGGAGGTGGTCCATTGGTCCACTGCTCCCCCGCCCCCCACTTTCCTCAGAGGTCTTGAAAGAGTCCTCTTTTATTAGGGAACAGAAAGTACACAGAAAAACATGCTCAGCTGTGCGTGTGTGTGTGTATACATGTGCTTGCGCATGTGTGCAAGTGCCCGTATTGGAGCTTGAACTCAGGGCCTGGGCACTACCCCTAAGCTCTTTTTTTTTTTTTCTTTGGGGTCCGGTCGTGGGGCCTGAACTCTGGGCCTGGGCACTTCCACCTGAGCCCAAACCAGGGCTTCAGCTCAAGGCTAGCACTCTACCACTTGAGCCACAGCGCCACTTCCGGCTTTTTTCTTTTTGCTTATGTGGTGCTGAGGAATCGAACCCAGGGCCTCAGGCATGCAAGGCAAGCGCTCTACCACTGAGCCACCTTCCCAGCCCTACCCCTGAGCATTTTTGCTTCAGGTTAGTGCTCTACCATTTGAGCCACAGCTCCGCTTCCAGTTTTTGGTAGTTAATTGGATATGAGTCTCATGGACTTTCCTGCCCAGGCTGGCTTTGAACCTCAATCCACAGATCTCAGCCTTTTTTAGTAGCTGGGATTACAGATGTGAGCCATTGGTACACAAATATGCTCAACTTTTAAAAACAAGATCATTCATAGTGACAGAATCCATGGGTGGAGACTTTTCCTGTGCCCCTCAGGTCCACAAGGTGAGTGTTTCTCTAGGTGAGGACTGAGGCTCTATTTCTGGCCCTGGCAGAAGTGGAGAAAGGGCCAAGCCTTATTCCAGATGATTCCACTCATTGTCTTCTCACACACAAACACATGTGCATTGAACACTTCCAGGACCCCACCAACTCTGTTGTAGGCACTGGGGATTTGTGACGGTGGAACAGGTGCAGTGAGCAGCTCCTGCCTGGTTTGGGCTCAGGTGGAAGCAGAGAGCCCGAGCCTGCCAGAAATGGAAACCCAGGGACGCTGATCTCTACTGCTCAGGTCCTGCAGATCCCAGGCCAAGATCTTCCCAGGGACGTGGGAGTTGTAGGAGATCCATGCTTGTCCAGGCCCAAGGCTGCCTGCTTCTCTGCTTGCTAGAGCTGCTATAGGCCTTGTGTGGACATCGGTAACCAGCCTGTCCCCCCCTCCACCCCCCCAACAGACCTTTATTGAGTCTATTCCTGGGCGGATTGGGCTCCCAGAGGGGAGCCATTCAGAGGCTGGCCAGGCTCAGCAGGGGCTGCAGCACAGAGGCTCAGGCTTTGGGGCTGGCCCTCAGGATGGCCTGGGGGCATCTGCATGTGAAAGGTGGGTGGACATTTACTGCATCCTGTCTTAGCCACTAAAGCACATCTGCTGGCCCCTCCCAGGGTGCCCCATGGCTTGCTGGCGGAAGGAAACAGGCCTGGCCTCGCCTCAGCATAGCCTCATAAAGCAATTCCCACTCAGGACCCGTCTTCCCTCCCCCCCCCCCTCCATGCTCTGAGCCAGACCTATAGCCCAGCTCTCAGTCCCAGGGACTGGAAGCCTTGGAGACCATGAAAACACAGATGCCTCCAGCCCATCTTGGAGCCTGGAGACCAGAGCTTTGTCTGAAGTCTGGCTGGCCCTGCTCCTTAGTGCTCCTCAGTGCTCTGTTGCCCTGGTAGTGTCTTCCTTAAGGAAGACCCCAGAGTAGCAGTCGTGCGGGCTGAGGGCTGGACAAGCTTCATTCCACTGTCTCCATCCAGCCCGGCTCCTGGGTCAGGCCAGCCAGCGGACCCCGCAGAAGGGACCCCACAGAGATGTCCCCCACAGAGACAGAGCTTATTTGAGTTTGCTGACGTCAATGGGAGCTGTCCTGGCTCTGCCCAGACCTTGGCCGAGGGCTGTGTGTGGAGAACATATGCTGTCCCTTGTGTGCCCTCTCCTGACAGGTGGACCCCGTTGTCTTCAGAGCTGGGGGAGCGGATTCCGGCTTTCATGTTGTAATGTCAACATGGGAGTTTCACAAGATCAATGGCTGCCTTGTAAATGTTGTCACAAGCACCTGAACACAGAGAAAAGTTCAAGTCCTTCGTCATGGGCCTTATCCCAGACATTGCCCCAGAGTGACCCCTAGGATCCTCCAGCTTCTGTCCTCTGTGTTCTATGAAAGTACAAAGACCTGGATCCCTCCCCCCCCCCCAAACTCCCTCTAGACACCTGAGCATTTATCCCAATGAGACTTGGGGGAGAACTCCCCCCACACTGAAAACAAGAACAAAAGAGCAGTGTTTGAGTCATTTGTATTTTCTCTATTTAGACCTGTCATGTTTAATATGTGATCAACTGATGAAAAGCATAAACGTGTTTTGAAGAATGATGGGGTTGCCAGGTTCTGGTGGCTTAAATTGTAATCTTAGCTCCCCAGGAGGTTGAGATCTGAAGACTGGGGTTTGAAGCTATCTCAGGCAAGAAAATTCAAGAGACTGTTATTTCCAATTAGCCAGAAAAAAGCTGGAAGTGGAGGTGTGGCTCAAGTGGTAGAGTGCCAGCATTCTTGAGTGTAAAAGTTCAGAGATAACTCCCAGGCCCTGAGTTCAAGTCCTAGTACTGGAACACACATGTACACACACACATACACACACACACACACACACACACACCACACATATACTACTACTATGACTGATGATGATGATGTTGATGATGTTGATGATGATGATGATGATGATGATGCTGTTGATGACCATGATGGACTACACAGTATCGTTTCAGTGTGATTAGCTTAAATGGGTGCTGAGAATGATCTGCGTGTGTCGAAAGGGCTGAGTACATA